GAAAAAATATCAGTATTTTGCGAAATTTAATTTAGATAATACTGACTGGTATGAATTTTTTCAAATTTTTTCCATGCAATTTATTGAAAAAATTTAAAAACTGAAAATATCCAAAGTACGAAGGGTAGAGGTACTTTAACAATAAAATGGCTGAAGTGCATTGAATGGAAGTAATGGAAGTAATTCTTCTCAATTAATCCCCGCAGATCGCGAATAAATCCCAGGACACTCACCTCCCGATGAAATCCGAGATGATGAATAAGGTTTTATCAGAAGTTCGAACGATGCGAGGGAGGCAGGAGCACTTGGACACTCGGCTGGGTGCGATGAAGCGGGAGAACGAGGCCCTGTGGAGGGAGCTAGCCATGCTGAGGCGAAAGCACCTCAAGCAGCAGGACATTGTCAACAAGCTTATTCATTTTCTCGTCACCCTGGTCCAGCCTGGAAGGGGTGGTGGGCTGTCGGTCAAGCGGAGGTATCCCCTGATGATCGATAATCATCAGAGGAGCAAACACCCCAAGATGTCAAAGGTATGGCGAAAAAAAAAACAGCTTGAAGAATTCGATCTCCCAAATTTCGTGTTTTTTTTTCGTCTGATTTTAAGGTTTTAATGCGATGTATTTTTGTCTGGTGATTCCAGCCGGAAGCGTCACCCACTGGACCCACAATTCACGAACTCGATGGAGAACACGAGCATGATTTGAACTCCCAATACATCGTCGCTGAGTAATTAACTTTGTCAATTCAATTTTCGAGTAAATTCGCGATTTTGTTTCATTAAAACTTGGAATATCTCAGAAACCAGTGGATTTATCGAAAAATGTCAAGAGAGCTTTTCTGTTAAAAATTAAATTCCCCACAAAAAAGTTTCCATGACATTTTTTGATACATCCAATAGTTTCGAAGATAACACAAATTAATAACGACGTAAAAAACAGAACAAAAAAAGTTGTTTTCTCGTCTTATAAAAAATCCAATTACCTCAATAACGAGTAGATTTACGAGAAAACTTCAAGAGACATTTTTTCTGGAGAATTGAATTCTCCGCAAAACATCTCTCTTCACTTTTTTCGATAAACTCGGTGGTCTCTTTATATCCTGACTTTTAAAAACCAAAACCATTTTTTCTCACATTACATTTGTGAATCTAGAATGCTGGAGAATCACACGCCAGCGATTCAAAGTCCGGCGTCGATAGAAACGGAGCTAGACGACGACAACACCGAGACTATCTATCACACAGCTGACGAGACAGTTGACCGAGAGATTCGACTGCTCCAGGCGCAGGAGGAGGCAGTGAAGAAGCAGCTAAACATAAAACCCAAGAAGAAGTGAGTGATTAAATTTCTTCCTTTGATATTTGCCACTCCTCACACCTGAGTTGATGCTTGGAGGGCTTGTAATCACACGAGCAATGAACATTGTCACCTCAACATCATTAATTCCCCATCATGCATGCACTCTTCGATCAATTGTCTTCAAGTTGTGAATTCTTCAGCAATTGTAATGGAGTAGTGAAGCCCAACGAGTGCGCGAGTGGACGTACTTTAATGTATTCGAGCCATCCACTCGATAATTCATTAATTGATCGTTAAATTCCACTGCATCAGTGAATAATAATCGCCTCAAGCGTTCATTAAGCTGTTATTTATGTGTAGAACTGAATTATTTGATGTAATAGGGTGATTAATTTGAACATTGCCAGGAGGAAAAACAAGGTGCCTGTCAAAATTCTGATACCACCGACGCAAGCTGGGGCGAAACCGAGGTTACCATTTTATTTCACACTCATTATGTCGTTTCTACATTTTTATTTCTTTCATTTACGTTGTTATTGTCAATTTTCGATTACTTTATTGTTCAGATACTGTTGCAGGTAGTTTTCACTCATCAGTTGTTGATTATTCTGCATGACGAGTCGATTTTCTACTCATCGTTATCGTTTTCATTTCGAATTCCTGTGATTTTTCAGTGATTCTTCAATATTGAATGGCTTTTTTCAATTTATCTGGGGGGAGGGGTGGGGGAATGAACACTATTTCATTTTTATTGACATTAATCAATTAATATTACCAAATTTTGAAATAAAACTGTTTTTTAATTTCATAAAAGTCTAGATATCTAGGGAACTAGTGGGTTTATCGAAAAAAGGGAAAAGAGATTTTTTGTAGAGAATTGAATTTTAAAGAAAAAATGTTTCACTACATTTTTTCGTACCTCCAATGGTTATTCAGATATTCCGAGATTTCATATGACGGAAATTCAAGTGTTCTAATTTCCACTAATCCCCCAAAAAATTGCATGACCTTACGAATAATCCAAGAAGCTTTCGTTACGTTCTCGTAGATACCTTCGCAACAAACCGATGAAATTTATCAGTAATTTTTATTGACATTTCTACAAAAGAAATTATTCATAAGTCGTGAAATCAAGACTGGCAAAAACCAGCTGTCTCGATTTTTAGGCAAGAAACACTGTTGCTCGATGTGAATCCCGAGGAGCCAGTGCTTCCCATTGCCCTCCTAGAGAACAAGATAAAGCAAAAGCCAAAGGCAGTGCCCCTGAGGACAGTCAGAAGTTCAAAGCTCACGGCTATGGCAGCTAACATCAACAAGATGAACTCGGGGGAGGAATCTGAGGTCGAGGAGCCCCAGGAGAACGCCGATGTCGACCTCAACGACATTCTCATCATCCCCGAGGTGACGTTGAGTCAGGAGGAAGAGGGAGGGCCCAAGAAGAATGGAGCCAGGGAGCCGGAGCTGGGACAGGCCCCCAATGTCTATCAGCAAGTTGATCAGGACCCTTCGTCCAGTGCTAAGAGTAAAGATTTGTCGTTGAGTCGGGTCAATCCCTCGGGGACTGAAGCTAACTACAGGTTAGGATCGATGTAAGTTCATGTTGGACCATGGGTTTGAGCAGATACTGGAGCCCTTGAGGAGGATTTATTTATTTGTTGATCTTGATTGGTGATTTATCATTTTTTTTCCTCAGCTGAATTTTCACCTCTTGCTAAAGAAGTTTTTCGTAGTGGTGCTTTCATTTTTTTTAAGTTTCGGATTTTTTGTGGGATATATGGTGACATTATACGTAATTTCATTTGCATATCATTTTTTAGAATTTTTGATTTTTCAAATTTTCACATTTTTTGAAAATTGGCCGCAGTGTGAATTTTCCGACGGTGAAAAACAAATTCTAATACCATTTTATCGTAGTTTCAAGATAATACAAGCATTTGAATCACAATGAAATATTAATTTTCAAAATGCATTCTCCTTTTACCTCTTCGCTACTTAATTATTCACCATAAAAATCATTTGTTCGAAATCGTAACATATTTATTCATATGTCATGCCTAAAAAATAAGGTTTCCAAAAGTTTGGACAATTACAATTATTTATTTATAAACAACGAATGTTTGAAAAAAATTTCTCACGCAATTTAATTGACAAATTGCATGATTGAATTTATAGTATGACTTTGATGTCCCTAATTCATGTTGTTTTGCTAACAATTGTCTTTGAATTTAGGGAGGAGATGGACAATCATCTGGAGACGATGCAGAATGAACTGGATAATCTTCGCGATATACTTCGTGGTGAAGGTTACAGTATCGACGCCAACACACTGCTTGGAGTAAGTATATTATCAAATTAATCATCTCCCTCATTAATAATCAAGCAAACGTAACAGAATATTTAGACCAAAGATTATTGGAAACAGGCTAAATTGGTAATGAAGTTAAAATAAAATGAAGGTAATTCGAAGGTAAATTCTTCAACATTCTAAATAATTTTTGATAAGAGACGTTTATTAATCAACTGTCTGATGGGGACTGTCTATTTTTGATTAGTCTTCATCAGTGTGAATTTTATTTTCAAGAAAGTCATGATTAGACAGCTTCATATCAGTATTTGGCAGACAGTTACGGACTGCGAGGATCATTTCCCTGGATTTCAATCGACGAGTCAATGGTTTAATCTCTTCCTTTATTATGAATAATAATTTATTCGTCATTTATGTGTGATAAAGTGATAATTCTTTGGTTGGATAGGACTTTACTTTTGATAGTTTCTAGTTTAATTGAGACATTCATTTATTATCGACTTTACAATTCTTTTATTTTTTTTTATTATCTCAATAGCTTTTTGGGGGTGACGATCCAATGTCGTTTGGAATTCCAATGAATCCCGAGTTGAATCCAAATCAGCGCGATAGGGATGATGATGATCATCTGTGTGGTGAGTTGAACATTATCAATTACAGATTTCAGTGGTAAAATAATGGTTTCAACTTTTTATGGTGCTGTATCTCATTATATTATATTTTTTTCACGATAACTCAGGATTAAGTCTGCAGTTTGGAATTATTTTAACGAACATGAAGAATATTTTATTGAAAGAACCAGTAATGAAATCAAGGGTAATGCCCACGAGGGGATTCGAACTAAGTTCGTTGCCTCACATGCGAAAGGTTCCGAGTTCAAATGCCGGCCAGGTAGAATGGTGCGATCTTACCATTTAAAGTCTTGATCATCATCGCAGT